CCCCCAAAACCCCAAAACCCCAAAACCCCATAATAACAATTAAATATTGAGCAACTTTATTAATTAAATCTGGTAAACTGAGCATAGATCTTAAATCAAAATATCTCCAAAATGAGACTCTCATAATCATTTTTGGGGGTCTATCAATGAGGCTCAGTAAAAACATTCTGGGTGAAAATAATGGTTTCATCTTGTCTTGATATAGACATCTTTATAATGCATTAGTATCCTATAGAGATCACTTCTTCCTTGATATGCTGTGGAGTAAAATGTAATAAAATTATCAATGAACATTTCTTGTTTTACAATATTGATGGTTCAACAATGGAGTTCATTCAGTAACTTCAGTCAGGAACTATCCTATTCTTCAGGTAAAAAGAATCAAACTCAGAGCCTAATTTGAATATGTAGCTGCGGAAATTAGCCAACCTCCGAGGAAAATAAGGTCCTCAGCATTTAACTTGATGAAATATAAACACAAGCAGTATTAATAAGTGTACAGAGAATAGAAAAAGTCCACTGCATATCTGAGTGCTTGTTTCACTCTCTGTGATATAAACATAATTGATGCCGAGGGTGATATCGGAGCCGAAGATGAGTCAGTAAAATATTTCATAGCAGCACTTAGAGAAGGTAGTTGTGCTACCTAACCTTCTCTGAGTGTAAATGCTGCTAAAATATAAGATACCCCCAAACACAATTCTGAACCCCCACTCTCCAAGCACTGCCAGTCAACCACCCCATCACCCTCTCAAACCTAAAACTCACCATGACCAATCATACATCCACTGCCAAGAACCCTAAAGCAGTCACCACCTTCAATAACTTATCACACCTTTTCCATTTCCTAAAGCAATAGTCATAAAGTCTTTGGAACATTAGAGCTTGGGAAATGAAGATAAGTAGTCGTTTTATTGAAAGGAAAGTTAGGAGTATGATATCAGTCCTCCAATAAAAGCCATATTTAAACATTCTCAAGAAAATCTGACTGAAGTCTCTATTGCTGGTGTAAAACATTATGAATATCAAGAAATTTGAAAGATAGCTTTTTGTTGCTCGAGATGTAAGTTTAGATTGACTGAAATCAAACATAAAGATAATGAACATTGCTATATTGCTAAAAATGTATAGCTTCTCAAGGTCTTTTTGCTGCCAAATAGGTAAATATCCTGGTGATTTTCAGGTTTGTAGCCAGAAATCTATATCTGAATAGCACATTGTTGTTTCTCTTGGCATGCTATATCTGAGAGAATCATAACTATATTTAACACCAGCTATCTCCATCGCAGGCATAAGCATCGTGAAGATACCTACTGTCCACATTAAGCCTAAGATAAATAGTTGTAGAGAGTTTTCTGAATCTCAACATAAAACCATTTTTAATCTGTTCTATATTTATGAAATTATTTGGGGTTTTGGGGTTTTGGGGTTTTGGGGTTTTGGGG